CTAGAATTTCTCCAAACAGGGTCAATTGCACGAGATGTTGTGGAAAGACGGGTCTTTCTTCTGGATCTGCGTAAAGGTGGCGTTTTTCAACGATGATTTTTTTATAATTTCGTAGAGAATCTGTAGAGAGAAAAGAAGAGAAAAGTTAGAGCGTAGTTAGTGAATCATGGTATCCGGTCCTGCCGCCACGTTCTGTGTTTGGTTGTTGTCGATGCGTCGCAGCTCGTTTCCTTTTTCCCATTTCTTGGCGTTTTTGTTATATTCAGCCGTCAGTGGTTTCCATGGAATCCAAGGCAGAATTGAATGGGATTCAGCTGGAACAAACTCCCACTCAATAGAGACTTGAAAGTCCAGGGTAGCAGAGAGGTTCAGGAATGCTTCGTCGTCGACCGGTTCGGGACGGAGTTTGAAGAGGACCATGGGGAAAGCGTTGCCGAATTTAACCGGGAATGGATGTTTAATAGTATCCGCCCCGGGTATGTTCGGTAACGCGTGCCACACTTTCATCCAGCGGTCCCCACGTGGTGTATTGGTTTTATCAACCAGACCGTCTCGCCCGAAGTAGGATAGGCCTCGGTGGTATGATGTTTCTTTCGGGGTCATTTTCTGGAATAGGCCGATTGCCGGGAAACACGCCGGGTCCAGAACAGAGTCTTGGGGCACTGCGTTCTTCAGCGAAGTAGAATCCAAGATCATAGAGCCACGTTGTGAGATGGTTGGTCCAGGATCCGCTCCGGCGATGGTCAGTTCTCCTTGTTGGTTCACTTGTGCGCTCGCCGCGGACGGTTTTGGGTAGTGACCACCGGGGTGGTAGGTTGGTAGGGGCACGGTGTTGTCGCCCTTTGGCATTTTGTCGAATGTGGTGTACAGGTCTTGAGGCGTTCATGTGCTCATTCCGAGAACGCCGTTGTTTGGCCATGCCGGTATCCCTTCGTCGAGAATGCCCTGTGACCAATATTCCATGTTACACATTTTTGTGTCCAGGGTGTGATCAATGGAGAGATCAAATTCTGGACCCGCTTCGTGTACCGCACCAGAAGATGGAAGGTACAGGGGTTTTGTTTTTGCGAAAGCTTCATTGCGGAGGCAGTAGATATAGCGCGTCGGGGTCACTATAGCGTTTCTGTCGATATCCAGGTCGGAGCGGTGGCATATCAGTGTGTTGTTGCTCACCGTGTAGTATTCGCCATTATGTGTGTATGGCGCAGAACCCTGTGGCCGCACGCAGAATTGCAGGGTCCCTTGTGGGAAGGGATTCGCAACGTGTTGTGATCCCACGTGTTCGCAGTGTAGGTAGCAGCGTAAGCCGTACATTTTTAGGCTTACTTTTGAGGGCCTAAAAGCCCGCGCGCGCTGTGAGAGCAGCCACCAATCCTTAGGGTCAAAGTGACGCCCGGCTTCGTTAAAGTCGATATACAGCCAGGCCGTTTCTATCACGTCTGGTTTGGTGCTACCTGCAGAGGTGTCGTGGTGCCATGCAAATTCGTCGTTGGACTGTTCTGCCTTGAAAATCGCAGTACGTGTAATTGTAGTCACGACAGAATTGTCGCCCCATGTTGCGCCGTTAATTCGCGTATGCCTAATTGGTGCTTGTGAGCCCGCCGCCAGAACATCATCGTGATCCATTGTTTTACCTGGGGCGGTGGTTGTTGGGGGAGTCTGTTCGTCTGGTCGCGGCTTTTTTGCGGGTGGTTCAGCCGTATCGCCGCGCTTTTCTGCCGTGGTGTCGGGCTGAGATGGGCCGGGCTGTTCTACCGGCGGTGGTGCATTAGGGTCGACGTTTTCTTTATCGGGAGGTGGTTTTCCTGGAAGTGGGAGAGAGGGAAGCTCTTTAGGTTTTTTACGTTACATCAACAATTGGGTGCTGGTCAGAAATAATTTTTTTACAAATAATGGGTTCAACCCACTGGTGTTTAGCAATAAGGGGGTTGGTGAATACGGCTGGTACGCATGCATTCTGTGTAAAGTATAGCATATCGTTTAAACCGTTGCACAAGGCTTTAGCTTTCCAAGTAATTCATTGACTTGGGTGTAAATTTAAGTATGCTTGTTGTTGGTAACGTACTTTCCATGCTTCTTCTAAGTCAACGGAGATATCCCAATTACGCCATGTATTAGCAATATCGCGGGCTACCCATTCATTTGGAGTGTTAACAAAAGCGTCACTCCACATTGTTAACCACCAATCGCGTGCACGCATAGTTGCAGTGTACTTTGGTGGTACCTGTGCCATAGAAGAGATAAATAAATCCCAAACACGCCTAAACATAGGACCTAATGAAAATGTGAAAGGCATGTCGCCGAATCGGTAAAGTTCTTCCCAGCAATAATCAGATTCAATAGGTTCAGGTATGTTACGTAAAAAAGTGCCATCTTCCAAACCTGTAATGGAGCGCTTTGCCCTCCAAATTGTAGACACCACCGCCGGCATGACGCCACTCATCTTTTCAGTTTGTTCGAGCATTTTTTCGTCGGCCGGGTTAAAATTGAGATAAGGGTTTGCTCCTGCTTCAATCAGGTGCTCATATTCTTTGTCGTGTTGTTCTGCTGCTGCATCAAGTTCATTTACTGGTTGTCCTACATTCATGTCATTAAATGGGCCCAGGTATTTATATCCCGGTGCGGTCCACCCGCCTTTAGGTCGCTGCGTTGGCGGCATCGTTTAGCATAACCCAGACGCCGTAGCGGTACCACTCTTTTATAGCTGCGATACGTGCGTCGCGAGATGGATAGCCCAGGTTTAAGTCGGGGTATGGAACTTCAAAGCGCCAGACGTATGCTCGGGCCAGTAGAGCCTGTCGGTGTACTGCTGTAATAATGTTTCCGGAGTACACTAAGCCGAATTTGTGGTTCGTTGTTATTAGCACTGGCGTTCTTCCTATTAGTGATTGTGCTCTTCCTTTGCGATCAACCTTTACTGGAGTTCCACCGAAAAGACATTTAGCGTCTTCAACATTTTTTTCACCCAGCTGACATTCTTCCCACCAAATTAAGAATGAGTCATGGCAATCTGCAAAAGGGAAATTTTCATTTGATTTGTTAACGTTTGAGAAGTAAACCGAGCAAAAAACAATAGATTCCGCTACAAGCGTTTTAGCAGTATTAGGAGGGCCTTGAAAGACAAAGGCATTCCTTTTACCACTAGCGCAATTAGCCCAAGCATATAAGGCATATGCAAATCTTTCAAAATCAATGTTATTTGCTTGTAGAATGATGGTAAGCCAATTTGTAGGTGGTACGCCTTTATTTTCTTCGGTGTTTAGGTTAATATAATAGCCCAAGTTGTAGCTTTCTAGTAAACGACGCCGAACAATGCGTAATGCCAATGCAAGTACACGTTCGGTGCCAGTAGAAACGCACTGCCAATAGAAGTCGGGGAATTCCCGTTCAATATCTTGTTGTTCAACCCACCAGTTATCTACGCAGGCTGATACAAGTTGTTTTAGGACTTTGGATTTATTGCCAGTTAGTTATACAGGTTGAGCGATATATTGGTTTTTGTTAGTGACGTTGCGTTTTCCAAACCACCATACACAGTTTTTTGGTATGAGATAGATTGAGACGTAAGAGTCAAAGTTAATTTGTTTTAAGCGACCAGAAGGAGTCCGCGGTACTTTAATGCTTGCGTTTTGTCGCACAAGAGACCAAGTAAATAAAGTAGCAGACTGTAAATTGAAGAAAATCCGACGGTAATTAATGGAAGTACATTTAGCTCAGTTAGCTTCCTCTCAATGGATTTCACTGGATCATTTATAGCTTTGTAAATTTGCTAACTTTCATTACATTAGCGCAGCTAGCTTCCACTCAGTAGTTTTTATGGGATAAATCATAAAGCGTTATGCTAACAATGAACTCCTCCAATCACAGCAAAGCCCATTTTCATTTAGTGCATTTGCTAAAGTTATAAACTCTTAAGTTTGTTTTTAATTGGATGTTTTGAACGTTTTCAGTCGAATAAAGTTTGACATCAGTGCAGATTTTCTTCAAGTAGTTCGAAAATATTTCATGTATTTTATAAAATACTCTTATTAACAAACACAAAAAATAAAACCCAGCAACAATCAGCAACAAGTTTCAACAGGTTTTTGTGAAGAATAATTTTGGAATCAGGTTTCAGCTCTAATGTTTAACAGTTAGCATAGCTACATTTTCAGCTAGCAGTGCCCAACATTTACAACAAAAATGTTTCTCTTGTCCATAAAAAGTAAATCTTGGCGCAGCCGACAAATTCATCTCTGATGTTATGATTTCCTGTTTCTGGTTCAGAAAAGCTTTAAAATCTGAAAGATTTGCCTGATTTGTGAGGAACCTTCAGGGGAAGGTCAGACGATCGCTGTGATGGACTCTTCAGTTTGTTGTTTCCAGATAGAAGCTGATAAATGGCTTAAACAAAGCCCGCAGCGCAGGAAAACAAACAGCAGATGTTGGTTCTCGCAGCGCTGAGGTTTGATTAGTGTTTGCTGTAGCAGCAGGAACAGATCCATTACTGAAGCTCCCACAGATTTAACACATTAAAGAAGATTACAGCCTCCACTGCGCGATGAGTTCAGGGCAGGCTGGGAAAAAAGAAACACACAGAGATTCTCAAGGAAAGCCAGGTCCAGAAGACTCACTGGGCCGGGCCGGGGTGGGCCGGCCCCGCTGCAGAATCACCTCTTTGGTTTCATAAACACGGGGGTCATGAAAGAGGAGCGGCTGTTGGGAGGTCATGAGGTCATGAGGAATAACTGAGGCCAGAAGAGCGTCTGGACGGTCGGACGCTGCGTTGGACCCGAACCAAGAAGAAGGAGTTCAAGGTTCTGGTCCAACAGATATGCATCTGTGTTCTGATGTCCCGTTTTAATGTTCATCCAACACCTAACATGCCGGTCTCTGTAGAGGAGAGGTCAGAGGTCACACAGGTTCGTTTCCACATAAAAAACAAACCAATAAACTCTGACGCCTCCATCTTGTTTCATCTGGTGAAACAGGAAGTTACTTTCAGTGTCTTCAGAGGTTTT